GGGGTCCAGTGTGTTAGGGAAGGGGGAGGACTGAGAGTCTGGGCTCCTGGGTTCAAGTCCTGTCTCTGGTTGGCGGATGAGGTTTCAGGAGAACAGGTTTGGGAGCCAAGATTGGAGGGATTCTCGGGGAAGGATTTGGGCCTGGTTTGATTGGGTTCTGCACCGGGTTAGAGATTTGATCTGTGGTGAATAGAGTGAAATCTGTTGTGCGTGTCCAGCACTCCCATCACCCTGGTGTCTGGGCTGCACCCCCCCTCCTGCATTCCATGGCTTTGCCTTGGTTCATGCTGTGTCTGTCAGTCCTGCACCCTCACCTCATCTAACATGGGACTGAGGATACTGGGGCACTGGGGAGAGCTAGCACACCTGAGGAGGCTTTTCTTCTGGATCCTTAGATGGAGCAACTGCTGACTTTGATGTTTCCACCCTGGAGAGCAGAGCCGAGACACCAGGACCTGCCGCCTCAGTGGAGGGGAGCGGACCTGAGGCTTCAGAGACCTCTCCCAACCAAGTGCATGTAGGTAGAGTCCAAACAACATCCCCACAGCCCCTCTCCCAACCCAGGTCCCCTGCGCTGGTGGGGAAACAGGAGCTGGGTTTCCATGGCCCATTCCATCTTCGGCCACCTGCTGAGTCAGCCGATGAGGAAGTCAGTCCAGACCCTCCACGTTTCCCTGGTTCTTCCATCCATTGTCTCCATCTACGTGCCATGCCCGAGTTTCTGCCCATCCTCTGCGTATTGTCCACCTGTGAAGCACGTGGAAGATGCCAGGACTGTTTTACAAATACTTTATGTATTAGCTGCACCAGACCTGCTTCCTGTCCAGCCCCAGCTCCACATCTTGGTTGCTCCACTCCAGCCCTACACCCTGCCTGCCTCTGAGCCCCTGGCTCTGAACTCCTGGTTGGCCTCCCGACTGCGCCTCTGGGTTTTGCCCTCTGGCTCTGGTCTGACTGCTGGGCCAGACTCCTGCTCTGATCATGAGGTCGCACCATCTATACCTCTGTGCGGGACACCCAGCCCCATAAGTGAGTGAGTGTGTGTGTGGGAGGAGGGGGGTCTGAATAAGTGAAGCCTCCTCAAGTGTTAGCTGAGGCAGAAGGGTGTGAATGGTTGTGTGGGTTAGATCCCTTTGCTTGTAAGGCTTTTGTACCCTCAGTTGAGATTAACGGAGACGGTGTTTGGAGAAGGCTGGTGTCTGTCCCTGCCTGTATTCACACACTGGCCTCAGCTCCTGGCGGTGAGTCCGGCTGAGGCCCAGACCCAGCCACAGGAGGAAACACACCTGGGATCTGTAGCTATTTTCCTGGTCTGTGAGTGGGAGCATGGGGAGATTCCACCCCAGGGAGAGATGGGCACTGGGTGAACCACAGGCTTGGGGAGGCTAGCCCCTGGCCTGGCCCACCCCTTCCTTCTGAGGCCCCTCCCCTCCCTCTCCTTTCCCCCGAACCCTAGATACCCCCCATGGCTGCCAGCCACCCCCCCCCAGCCCCAGAGCATGCCCCCCACAGCCCTGGAGCACCAGACAGAGCACAGATCCCCCGCAGCCCCAGAGTGGTGGGCGGTGCGCGACATCCCCCCTCCCCCCTCCCTGGAGCTTTGGGTGGCACGGCCCCAGTGCTGGACCCCTCCCCCCAGCACAGGGGCCAGTCCCAGCTACCCCAAGTCCCAGTTGCCTTTAGACTCTTTATCTTTAACAAAGAGCATGTCTGGATTCTAAGGACAAGAACACTGGTCTTGACCAATAAGTAACCGTATTCTGGGATTTAGTCATTATGCTGTATTTAATAAGCCTAGGGTGCCTTCATGTCTATAAGCCTCTAGATATTCTTGGAACCTATCTCCTTAACGTATATATAAAATGCTGACATAAGCGTATATAGACCAGGGACACTAATAAGAGATTATTATTATAGCAGATGTTTTCTGTTGGGGAAATCAACATGGAAGAAAAATTGTGGGGGAAGAAAGACCCACTGAGAGATATTAATTTGAAGGATTGTTAGTCCTCCCAGCTGTAAATAATCCCGCCTTCTGACATGAGTCAGGTAGACTAAGACTGTATAGAAATGACATCACAACATACGTTTCTGGGAGAATATTCTTGGCAACTAGGTTTCCTTTATAACGATAGTGATATGAAAACTTTGGTTGGGGGAATGACACCTGCATGTCCCTTCCAGATGCAGGACAGACACATATCCTGCTCTGAGTCTGACAACAGAGGGTGGTAATGTGTCTATTTATTTCTGTATTCTGTATAGTGCTGTACTAATCTCTGATTAATAATCTTAGATTAAATAATTTCAATTGAGTCTGCCATTTCAACAATCTCGAGTCATTAACTCAGACACACAACAGAACAGAGCGTGGGTGGGGCCAGGCAGGGCTGTTTGGGGAAGCACAGCCTTCCCCTGCCTATTAGACATGCTGCCCATGCAGGGAGATGAAGGCTTGAGGCCTAAATCTTGAGAACAAAGAGGTCAAGAGGAAGCCAAGGTGCAGCTGGCCCTGAGCTGTGATGCCATCCCAGGTGGTAACGCCTCCGTTTCCGTCTGCAGGGAGAAGAGGAGCCATGAAGACCATCCTGTCCAAACTGAGACTCAGGAAGTTCAGAAATGGGAAACTGAGGCTGAGGGATATCCTGGAAATCAGCCCGGACAGCCTGAAGGACTCGACTCCTCACACCTGGGGAGTCTTGCCTTGGCACTTCCTGAGAAAGCTCATGTGAGAAGCCTCCAATACAGGAAAATCTGTTTCCCTCTTTGTTTTTGAAAACAAAAACCAATGAAACTTGTGACTGAGGGATGCAGGGGCTGGCTCAGAGCACAGGATCCAGGGCAGGGTTATTTATCGACTGACGTCGATGGGGTCAGGGCTGGATTCTGATCTCAGTGACCCAGCTGTAAATCAATCAACCTCTGTGTCCTTTGGAAATCTAGCTACATGTTCAGTGGTGGATTACTGCACGGGCCAATGGGATCCGTGCCTAGGGGCCCCGGCCAATTTGGGGCCCCTGGAAAAATCTCCCCCACCACAACCCCATGACAAAACACAGGGCTTCTCTGATCTCAGGGCCATGGGGGAAGGTGGAGGGAGGAGAGGGGCGGAAAGGAATGACCGGGGACGGGGTTGTGCGGGAAGAGGCAGAATGAGGCAGGCCCGTGGGCAGAACAGGGCAGGACCACAGGGGAAGGGGTGGAACAGGGTGGGGCTGTGGGCGGGGCTGAGGGGGAAGGGGCAGAATGGGGTAGGGCTGTGGGCGGGGCTGAGGGGTAAGGGGTGGGATGGGGTGGGGCTGCGGGCAGGGTTGTGGGGGAAGGGGCAGAATGGGTGGGGCTGTGGGTGGGGCCACAGGAGGAAGGGGCGGAATGGGGTGGGAGCGCAGGCAGAAGGGGTGAGGTGGGGCCATGGTTCTGGTTCTGGGCCCCTCTACTTGCTCCAGCCCAGGGCCCCAAGAGAACTTAGTCCGTCACTGTACACATTGTAAATTCTTTCTATCTATTCCCATAAACTCCTCTATCTACCTACCCCCTTGCATACAGAGGTTCCCAGTGCTCAGGGCTGGGACAGACCCTTGCTTAGGGTGGGGGGCAGAGGTGAAAGTAAGCCGGTACGGTCCGGTACGGCGTAGCGGCAAGAGCCAGTACGCCGTGCCGGACTGGACCGGCTTCCGTGGCGGTGATTTAAAGGGCCCAGGGCTCCAGTCGCTGCGGGGAGCCCCCGGCCCTTTAAATCCCCGCCAGAGCTCCAGCAGCCGGGCTCCTACGGTGATTTAAAGGGCCCGGAGCCCCGCGGTGGCCGGAGCCCCGGGCCCTTTAATTCGCCCCGGGGCTCCCAACCGCCTCTGCAGCTGGTAGCTCCGGGGTGATTTAAAGGCCCTGGGGCTCCCAGCCACAACCGGAGCCCCAGGGCCTTTAAATCTTGAAAGGCAATGCCTCTTCCAGTTGAGGCCACACCCCCACTCAGGACTCCGGCGTAATGGTAAATCCTTTCATCCCTGGTGGGGGGTGATTGTTCCTCCCCATTATGTGTCCCCCGCAGCTGGGGCCCCCGATCCGAACACCCTGCCCCGCCCTCCCCATCGTCCCCCCTGTCCTGGGATGTTGGTGCCTGTTGCATTCTGGGCTGCTTTCTGTCCAAATCAGGCCCCCACCTTCCTGCCCACACCTTCCTGAAACTTAAGACTGTAACGCACTTGTATCTATGGTTACCTGCTTTAACTTTGTAGCTAATTCTCTTATTTAATAAATCTAGAGACAGTTTATTACAGGATTGGCTACAAGTGTTGTCTGTGGTGTGAGCTCTGAGGTGCAACTGACCTGGGGTAGGTGACGGGTCCTTTGGGGCTGGGAGTTACCTGAATATTGCTGTGATCTCTGGTGTAAGGGACCATCTATCACAAAGGCAGCCTCACCTGGGTGACCAGACAGATTTGGGTGCCTCAGGGGACTGTCTGGGACTCCATGTTAAGGCTGTTAAAGCACCCGAGGAGTTCACACTTGATACTTGGTTGGTGAAATCTAAGTGTGGGGCTCACAGCCAGTTTGGGTTTTGCGCCCTGTTTCTTACCCATCTTCCCTGAGGTTGGTGCTCATGCTCTTGAGCCACTGAAAGACAGGCAGACAGGGACATGGGGCCTTTCCCCTCTAGGGGGCGCTGGCTCCAATCCAGCCCCAGGCCAGGGGACTGGCTGGCTCATGGGGGGGAGGGAATGGGACAAACCATTGCTAGGAGATTCCTGTTTCTCTTCCTTTAACTCTCTGGCCTGATCTCTGCTCGGGGGAAAGGTGTGTGAGCGACCCGTTTGACAAGCCGTGTGCAGACGTTCAGACCCCAGCTACATGAGTTAAGAGCACAATTGTCCTGTCCTCACTTGGATGGTAACATGGGCCTGTTCACATGAATTCAAACAGCCCCATTTTCCCCCGCATGAACACCCAGATGCTTAGATCCTCCCTCCTCCCAGCTGATGGAAATATTTCAACTGAGACTGTCACCAAAAACATGAATTTTAATCACAAAAAAACATTTTTTGAGGGAAAACTGTTGCTTTTGAAGTGACTTTTTGGTGGGAAAATTTGGCTTTCATTGGGAGAATAAACTGAAAAATAGGATTTTGGGGTTTTCTAACCTCCCTCACCAACTGGTATCATTTTCAAATCAGCAGGGGAAAAAAAACCCAAATTGCCCCTCCACACACATTTTTTCAGGTGGGGAGAAAATGTAAAAAAAAAACCCAACCAAACTCAAAATATGAAAATTATTTGTTCTCACACTTGTTGAAAATGAAAAACAATGAAACTTGCAATGGAGGGATGCAGGGGGCGGCTCAGAGCACAGGATCCAGGGCCAGGTTATTTATTGACTGACATCAATGGGGTCAGGGCTCGATTTTGATCTTGGTGACCCCACTGTGTCCTTTTGAAATCTAGCTACCTGTGGTAAGTTGTTTATATTTTTCCAATAAACCCATCTATCTATCTATCTAGCCCCATAAAACGTTCTGCACCCGCCACCATAGCCGCAGCTACACTCAAACCGATGCGTCCTCCAACACTCCCACCCGCCACTACCACGGCACCCTCTACAATGCGCAGGCCCCACCATATGTACGTCTTCTCTTTAAAGCGCTGTCTGTAGGCCATTAGGAACTGGGCCATCTGACTGGCCAGTCCCTGCTTCAGCCCCTTCAGGGCAGCCTGTTTCTGGGGGTCCTCGCCCCCCAGCTCCCTCCAGCAGCACTCCAGCAACTCCTGGCGTTTCCCCTCCAGGCGTTGATGCATTTCCGCAGGCTTCACACTCAGGCAGTGGTTCATGCTCTGGTGGTCACGGTCCTGCCGGGAGTGGGGAGAGATCGGCCATGAGGGATGGGCACTAGCGTTACCCAGCCACAGGGGGCGCCACCGCCTCACACACCCACAGATCCCTCACTCCCGACCTGCAGCCCCCTGCTAGCCCAGCTCTGCCCACCACAGCTCTGCCGGTGCCCCTCACTCCCGACCCGCAGCCCCTGCTAGCCCAGCCCCTCCCCCCCCCAGCTCTGCCGGTGCCCCTCACTCCCGACTCGCAGCCCCTGCTAGCCCAGCTCTGCCCCCCCCAGCTCTGCTGGTGCCCCTCACTCCCCACCCACAGCCCCCTGCTAGCCCAGCCCTGCCCCCCCCCCCAGCTCTGCTGGTGCCCCTCATTCCTGACCCGCAGCCCCTCTCTGCTCACCAGCTTCTGCAAAAAGTGTTCATATCCCTTCAAGGCAACTTCTACAGCTTTCTTGTTTGCCTCCATTGCAGCCATCTGTGGTGGGAGAGAGGACAGGGCAGGGGTGGGGATGGGACCATTTCTGAACTGGGAGCCTCCCTCCCCCCACTCACCTTCTCCCCAATCCTCCAGGGCCCTGCTCACTTCTACCACCTCCCCCCTCAACCCCATATTCCCCCAGACCCTGGAGCAGCCCCCCAATGACCCCACGGCCATGGCCACATTAGCATTCTCCAGCCGGGTCCCTGGGGGTCCCCTTATCTCTCAGGGGCTGGGGTCAGGGAGCCCCAATCAGGACATTTTGGGGGGCTGTCATGGTGCCCCCTCCTGGCCTAGTGCGACTGGCTAATGGCAGGTTGATCTGGAGTGAGAATAAACTGAAACTGTTGGTTTGGGATTTGGGGGTGTTCTAACCTCCCTAACCCCTTTGTATTGTTTTCAAATCAGTGGGGAAATGAGGGGAAAACACCCCAAAATTGTCCCCTCTACACACACACTGTATCAGGGGAAGAGAAGATATTTAAAACAAACACAAAATGTGAGAATCGCTTTTCCTCCCACTTGTTGAAAATGAAAACCAAAAAAACTTGCGACTGAGGGATGGAGGGGCCGGCTCAGAGCAAAGGATCCAGGGCCGGGTTATTTATCGACTGACGTCGATGGGGTCAGGGCTGGATTCTGATTTCAGTGACCCCACTGCAAATCGATCAACCTCTGTGTCCTTTTGCAATCTCGCAAGCTTACCTGATGTAAGTTGTTCTTTATCTATCTATCTATCTATCTTATCTATCCCCTTGCATACAGAGGTTCCCAGTGCTGAGGGCTGGGACAGACCCTTGCCCAGAGTGAGGTGTGATGGTTCCTTCCCACTATCTGTCACCCTGATCTCAACACCCTGCCCCACCCTCCCGCTCATTCCCCAGACCTGGGGTGTTGGTGCCTGTCTTGTTCCGGGCCCCCTTCCATCCAAACTGGGCCCCCCCCCAGCTGCCCCCCCTCAATCAGGCCAAAGCCCCCAGCCCCAATCCCAATGGCCACTGCTTCCTCCAGCCCTGATGCCTACTTCGATACCCGCATCCACCACTCCCAGAAAACCCCCCCACCCAATGTACAGGCCCAACCACTCGGCCTTCTTCACTTTAAAGCGCTGCCCGTAGGCCGACAGGAACTCGTCCATCTGCTTGTCCAGCTCCTGCTTCAGCTCCTCCAGGGCTGCCTGTTTCTGGGGGTCCTCGCCCTGCAGCTCCCCCCGGCAGCGTTTCAGCAGCTCCTGGCGTTTCCCCTCCTGGCGTCGCTTCATCTCCAGGGGCTTCACTCTCAGACAGCTGCTCATGCTCTGGTGGCCACGGTCCTGCTGGGAGGGGGGCGAGATCGTCCATGAGGGATGGGAACTAGCATTACCCAGCCACAGGGGGAACTTCTGCCTCACACACCTGCAGCCCCCTCAACTCCAACCTACAGCCCCCTGCTAGCCCAGCCCTGCCCCCCGTCAGTCCTGTCGGTGCCCCTCACTCCCGACCCGCAGCCCCTCTGCGCTCACCAGCTGCTTCACAAATAGTCCATATTCCCTCCTGGCAGCTTCTACTGCTCCTCTGTTTGCCTTCTCTCTCATCTCTGCCATCTCCGCCATCTGTGGTGGGAGAGGGAAAAGGGTAGGGGTGGGGATGGGACCCCCTCTGAACGGGGAGCCCCCCTTCCCCCACTCACCACCTTCTCCTAATTCCTCCAGGACCCTGCTTGCTGCTGTCACCCCCCCACTGGTGCCCCCTTTGTGGTGCCCCCTCCTGGCCTAGTGCAATTGGCCAATGGCGGGTGGACCTGGGGTGAGAATGAACTGAAAACTGTCGGACTGGGATTTGGGCTTTCAGACCTCCCTAACCCCTTTGTATTGTTTTCAAATCAGTGGGGAAATGAGGGGAATCACCCAAAATTGTCCCCTCTACACATACGGACTGTATCAGGGGAGGAGAAAATCTTTAAAACAAACACAAAATATGAAAATCAATTTTTCTCCTACTTGTTGAAAATGAAAACCAATTAAATTTGTCACTGAGCGATGCAGGGGGTAGCTCGGGGCGCAGGAGCCAGGACCGGGTTATTTATTGAC